GATGATAAATACGTCTTTCGAATGGAATAAATAGCAAGCACTTTGAGTGTCTCAGCCGAGGCTAGCCGCATCTCAGACGAACCTTGTTACTTTAACACTCTTACCCCCGGTTTCACAGACAAGGCTTAAGCCTAGCTAACATAAATCAGGTAATGCTTTAAACTCAATTATGTTTAAAACATTTAGTTTACTGCTAATTAAAAGTGAATTGTGGTTTTAATCAAATTGCTTACAAACATGTGCAGTCATTTCTGTGTGTGTGTTTGGATCTCATTTTCAGAGTATAGCAACACATTTGTTATATTGTTGTATTTGCTCTAATGCTTGTTCTCCGTAGTGCAGATATATTGCAGCCTAATAGCTGTAAAACATCCCCACCTAGAGTTCATGTTGAATATCTCCACCAACAGACTTATTTTATCTGATTACAAGAAAAACACTTTTTATCAAAGCCAGTAAAAAAACATTACAGTGCTATAAATGTCAAATTTGACAGGGCAGCAGACTTTCAGGTCATTAGCTAACCGAGACAGAGAAAAGTCTATTATCTGGATACCAGAATGACTGTTTTACATCAAATGCAGCATACATTTAAAGATACTGTTTCTAAAACATCTAAGAAGTCGGTTGGAAATTAAAACTCTTCCAATAATCCTTTGGCAAACAAGTAAAAAGTATACCCAGATAGCAAGCAACCATTGAAAGTTGATGCATTAAGTCAATGCTGATGCATCAATATTAATTACATTGTATTAATGCTACAAAGTGACGTTCCATATCACTTTTGCACCCGCAATTAATGTTGAAACAATGTTGAATTTTCCACAAAAAAAAAAGCCAATGCCATTAAATCGACGTTACACTGTGATGTTGATTCTAAATCCTTGTGTTTGGCAGGTCAGGTACTTTGTGTCAAAGTGATTGGCTGCACTGGAGGGAGTGTAATGTTCAAGTGCATGAACTCAAACCAGAGAAAGCTTAATGATCAGCATAAAGGAAAGTATTTCTGCAGAATCAGAAACTGTAGGACAGGCATCAGTACTGAGTCTCAGCGCGGTTGGGTTAATAATGGGAGATTCTCTCTGTACGGCGATGAAAACAGCAGATTCTTCACAGTGTTTATCAGGAATATGTTGAAACAATGTTGAATTTTCCACAAAAAAAAAAGCCAATGCCATTAAATCGACGTTACACTGTGATGTTGATTCTAAATCACTTTTGTTGAAACATTGAAAATACAACTGAAACGATGTTGCCATCTGATGTGCAAAGTCAATGTATAAAACATTAATATTTCGACTACACTTCAATGGGACATCAACAAATTCCTGACCATTTCAAAGTTTGTGGAAAACCTTTTAAAAGGAAAATTAATAAATGAAACCCTGAATGCGGACACTAGATGATTCGACCAGACCACGAGAACACACTCTTGTTGATTGAAAAGGCCAAGTATAAGAAGACCTTTATCCCAACTTCCATTAGTATTTCAAATAGGATCTTAAGATGAAGTGATGCATGTAATGTTACATTTTGTTGTGATTATTAATTGTATCGTTTGTTGGTTGAGCCTTAAAGACAATTTTCTACATGATCAGCATAAAGGAAAGTATTTCTGCAGAATCAGAAACTGTAGGACAGGCATCAGTACTGAGTCTCAGCGCGGTTGGGTTAATAATGGGAGTTTCTCTCTGTATGGCGATGAAAACAGCAGATTCTTCACAGTGTTTATGAGGAACCTCAGCAGAGAGGATGATGGGGAATATAGATGTGGAAACAATCAGGAATGGAGTCATGTTGTTACATTAGAGGTGAACAGAAGTGCGTATGATACTTTATTACCTACTACATTAAGTATTATACTTTTATTATAGTACTGTTTAAAGGTGCACTACGGAAAAAACTTCAAACTGCCTCACTGCATTATAATATTTGACAACAGTATAATAATGATTTATAATTTGAACTGAGAATGTTTATTTTTTATTTTTATGTCAGTCATATTTATGAGGTAACATGTCGTCTGTAAACAGAAATAAGACCCGTCTACTATGTATGACTCACTTGTTAAGATGACATTTCCCCCCCCCCGGATACATGCCTTGATAGGATAACATTTCTCTCATGTTTTGATCACAGGCGACCATACAGTACACAGACCCAAAAAACAAGCACAACCTACATTAAAAAAAGGAGGAAGACCACGCCCACACCAGGGGGGAAACAATCCAACGCTCTCCATTGACTTTCTATTGTGGGAAGCTGCCTTCTTTTCATTTCTGACTTATAACAAAAACAGAGCAATGCCTAAAAGCTCCTATGTGACAAGGTGGACAGCTCTGGTGAGTTTAGCTTCATTTTAATGATAACATTTTAATGCTAAAAAAAAAGTTCAGCTACATGTGAACGGTGGTAAAAGACACTTTCATTTAAGGGATAGTAACAGAAAAAATAAAATAAAATTAAAATTTCCGACCTAAAAAGTAGCAATTAATTACTTGGTAACTTGCCAGTACTGAGCAGAGCTATCTTCTTAAAAAAAAAATATATATACTGAATATTTTAAAGATTTTTCATTTTTTGGTGTACTGTCCCTTTAAAGCAGCATGCTGTGGTGAAGTCTGCAGAGTCGGTCTGATTAGTGTGATGGACATTTTCACACCAGCTTTAAACCACAGAGCACTTTTTGTGTTAAAGTAAAACAGAAAATAATGCTGGCTGCTGCTTTCGTGTTTTACTTTAGTAAAGTGCAGAAGGCAAGTGTTTTTTATATACAGATGTGTTTTAAAGTAGTCAGTTCAGCCAGAAATGACCTTCACTTTCCAGTCATTCCAGACCAGTTTGACTCGATGTTTTTTGAATGTTAACACACACAGCTGTTCTCCATACACTGAAAACACACAATTGATCTACATTTCAATCTTTTTAGCTTTTCTACTCATTGCTCATTTTAAAGCTCTTCAGTTCTTGCACATATTCAGGTTTGACGCTGGTGAAGGCAAAAATCACGTTTAAGTTTTCTTTTTGTGGTGTTTTTGTCATTTTTGGATCTTGATAGTCTCATAGTTATTCTCTGTTTTAAGTTTGCAGAAAACATCTTGTTTCACAGAAGAGCTGAGTAATTGAAGACAGTTTCTTTAATTTGTTGACACCATCTCTGCCTCATGATTGAAATATGAATATTTGTAGATGAATGTCATGCACTCACCTTGTTTCTCTGTGACAATACCTTTGTGTGATTTTAGGTTTCTTCTGTCAGAAGCATGAAGTCTCTCAGTGATGCAATACAGCAACCTTCAGTCAGGACGAGATTCACTCTGATTACAGCATTAACCACATAATGCCAAACTAATATTACTGTATAATATTGTTGTTTTTGTTTTCATCTTCTCAGTAGTGCCATTTCTTGCTCTTCTGTAAATATCCGGTTTCAGAAATCAACAGTTAGATTTTTGATTTGATAAAAAACTTGTAATTTCACTGAAAAATAAGTGAAAAACTGCAAAACATAATTCAGTTTGATCGAGTTACTGAGCATCTGGTGACACCTACAGGTCACTGCTGGGACAAAAGCTGAAATATTCCTCTAAGTGACTGTCTGTTTTGGTTGTACAGCTTTCTAGAAAGAAAAACGTCGGCTTCTTGTGCTGAAATATGTGAGCAAGCTTCAATGTTTAAGTGTTTTAGTTTATTAACTAAATTTGTTTCTTTGATTTTGTAAGCATCAGTCTGCCAGAACAGAAACAATCAGTCAATAAAGCAGCAGTGAGCAAGAAACTATTTACAGTGGTGGACATTTTCTCTTAATAAATGTACTTGATGTCATACATGTCAGTTTACTTTATTTATTTCACCAGAAAGTCCTACTGAAATTATTATTATTTTTTTTTCTTCTACAAGAGAGACCCGGCCAATGTAGCAGCCATTCAGATTAACAACAGGAATAACATAGCCTACATAATATACAAAATATATAACACACATTCACTAAGCTGTCTAAATGAGGACATTCCATAGACTTCTGTTTTTATATACGGCTATAAATATTATAACATAGTTATATAACCATATAAAATGTTTAAATGACCATATTAAAACCTTTATTTACTATACTTTTATACAAATTTTACAAATGAGGATGTCCCTAAAAGAGATTGTTATTTTCTTTTAGGTTTAACTCATCTTCTGGGTGCAAATTTGTCCCCAAAATATGGTTTAGTACACAAACATACACACAAATCATTCCAAACAATAAAGCATAGACTCATACGCGCATTAGATTATACGAAATATTAGAAAGGCAGATTAGTAAACACGCTATAACAATACTGAGAAGATAAAGAAGAGGATTTCTTGTGTGTAAGTGCATCGGTTTAGGGTTGTTGGGTGGTTGAGTGTTTGCGTAAGATGTGCATCTTCAGCCAAGCTGGGGTTTGGCTCATTCGACCAAAGACGAACAGAGAGGCTGAAGGGTCTGGAAAATTAATTTGTGCCTTTTTGTGAAGAAACAACAAGGTGCCGCTTGTTCAGTGATCGTAACTGGTGGGAGGGAGCACACAGTAGCAGTAGTGAATTGAGGTAAGATGGTCAGTTTGGTTGTGTTAAAGGAGAAGAGAAGAGGACCAAAAACTGAACCTTGAGGCACCCCATTGATTAGCTTAAGTGATTCAGACTGTGATGTGATCTGTGTCTCTCCACATAAATTAACTCCACCATCCGCTGCAGAAATTATTCTAATGATCAGGTTAAAAAAACACCTGCATGATTGCTGATATAATTATGCTATTATATGAATTTAAGTCTGTGATATACAATGAAACAAAGTAAATGTATTGTGAATAGTTTCTCGCTTCCTTTGTGTTTCTTTTCCATGTTATCTAACTAGTCACATGATCATAGTTTGAGCACTGGGTAAAACTGGATCAGGAAAAAGTGCGTCAGGAAACACCATCCTGGGCAGAAAGGCTTTTGAAGTTGTTGACAGGAACCGTCAAGATCAGATCACTGAACTGCTGAAAAAGATCAATGCAATGATGGAGGAAAATGAAATGATGCATTACACTCTTGAGATGTTTAAATCAACTCCGATAAAGAGAGAGGGAAGAATGGGAAAGATTGCATGTGCAGTTGCAGTACCAGGAATTGGACTAGGAACAGCAAAAATAGCACGTGTTGTTGCAACAGCAATTGCAGGCAGAGCAGCAGGAGCAGTTGTAGAAAAAGCAATAGTAGTTCCAGAAAGTGCAGTAGCAGCAGGAGAAGCTGTAGGAGAAGCTGTTGAAGCAGCTGTAGAAAAAGCAGTAGCTGCTATAGTACAAGCAGTAGAAATCGTGGGAGAAGCAGTTGCCAAACAAGTAGTATCAGCTCTAGAAAAAGCATTAGAAATTGTAGGAGAAGCAATTACAAAAAAAGGAGGAGAAGTTATAGAAGAAGCAGTTGTAGAAAGTGCAGCTGGAACAGGAGTAGCAGCACAAGGAGCAGTTACAGGTCTGGTGGCAGCAGCAGCATCAGCAGCAGCAAGATCAGCAGCAGCTGCAGGGAAAGTGGCCTCATCTGGAAGAGTAGCTGTAGTCGCTGCTGTAGCGGCAGCGTTTGGAGGAGCAGCTGTTACACTAATATCAGCACTGAGACTGTAAAAGAGTCGTTTATCAGCTACTTACAACTCTAGGGTTTAGATTTGTATTGATCTTATAATATGATTTTCACTGAACATGAATTTATACGTTTATGGCTTACAACTGAATCAAAATTCAAGCGCATAAATAATTTTCCAATTGATTCAGATGTACTGCACAAGAAATGAGTTAATATATGTTTATTAAAATGTTGGGCAGTGAGGTTTGACTCTTCAATACTGATACACATTTTATTTAGTAATGCTTTGTATACTGCTTTTCGATTCATTTCTTTTAGTGGACTTTATAGCGATAGTTCACCCCAAAATGAAAATAACCCCATTAATTACTCACCCTCAAGGCATCCTAGGTGTGTATGACTTTCTTCTTTCAGAAGAATCCAATCGGAGTTATATTAAAAAATGCCCTGGCTCTTCCAAGATTTATAATGGCAGTGAATTGGTGTTTGTGTTCAACAGTTCAAAAGAAGTCCAGTAAAGCGCTTCACAGAGATTTTAGAGTGCACTTTTATTATATAAAATAAAAACCTTCACGATAGGTTGACTGACCCAGCACTGTCAAAAATGGGTTAATGTATAAAATCCAACAAGATGGGTTAAAATAACCCGGCATGTGTTCTGTCCAATATTTACCCAGCGCTGGGATGCCAAATAAACCAGAAATGGTTGTTTTTAACCCAGATTTGTTTTTTAGAGTGTACTTTTTTTTTTTTATTACATCTAGTGTATTCATTTCTGCAATGCTTCATTTAAACAAAATTGGCTAATTTACTTATTTTACAGGTATTATTGACATATTTCTTTGTTTTAATTAAGTATAATACATTTCAATTTTGCCATCTTTCCATGAATTGTATTAGTGATCATAAAGAAAATACATCTTTTGTATTTGTTCAGAGGGGGTGTACTCATTTACGCTGTGCATTGTACAATACAATACAAACCTCAAATCATGTTGTTGTACATCCACTTATGTCATTTTGCAAATAGTTTTGTATGTTTGAATATGTCTTTGCATATGTTTTGTATATGTACTCTGTGTTATCTCAGCTGTCTTTTGTTTGTTCTGTCTTCTGTAACTCTTACATATGCCCTCTCAGGTTTATGTGCGTTTGGTTTTCTTTTTTAAGCCGTATAGCACAATGTGTTTTCAATAATAGAAGCAATGTTTGGTCGTATGGGTGGGAAAAAATATCTTATTTACATTTTACAGCAAAGCTTTTCAAAACACAGCTGTCAGTGAATTGAATTCATATTTACCGAGTGATACTGACCGTCCCTGTTTGTGGAAAGATTGTTTATGCATGTGTAGTCATTGTTAGTTCTGATTTTTTTATTATTTTATTATTATTTATAATTTTTTTCCCTGAGATATAGATGAGTATTAGAATGCTGATCGGCTGTTATGGAACAGTGAGTAGTGTTATGTAATAGAGAGCTGAAGTTCAGCGTTGAGCTGTTATTTTCCTCATTAAGCCACATCTAGTTCCCATGTTAAGTTTAATCATGATTTATACTGAGTGTTCAGTCACCTAAAGCAGCTGGTTTGAGTCTCACTTGAGGATGTGATGCTGCTCTGCGCCTCTAGAGTGTCCTTCACATGAGCAGAGCTAAACACCAAAGTGAAAGAAGACGAATAAGCCAGCTGGAAAGCCCATACTTTAAGTAATATACTGCAGTTTATTACTTAAAGAGATAGTTCACCCTAAAATTAAATTTCTGTCATCATTTACTCACCCTTATAGAATTAGATTATAGAATTATAGAATTAAATTTCTTTGTCTTTTTGACATTTTCACAAAAAGGTAAATTCATCTCTCATCCCTCTATTGAAGAAAGGAGGAGGACACGGCCTCCAAAATGAGTCTCTATGAAGAGAGAGAAGATGGAGACACTTCCTCTACAATGAGTTCTCCATCTCCTGAATCAAGCTGCAATCAACACATAAATAATCTGCATTCTGCCTTCAGTGATGCAACAGTGACCTCTGACCCCAGATAAGACAGGTGCCATTTTAGCATCTGGCAGATGCTTTCATTCAAAGTGACTTACATTGAAGCCTGTAGCCGGAGTGTCACAAACGAGACTCCCGCCGTGCCTCCCGCTCACCACCAGAGGGAGCTCTCTCCCGAGTTTTGAACTTTATCCAGACTACACACACACACACACACACACACACTCACATATCTGGCTCTGATTGCTCCTGCACCTGACTCTCGTTAAGTGGACTATTTAACCAGCTCTCAGACTGCGAAGTCTTGTATTGCCCCGGTGTACGTTTCTGAGCGGTTCTTTCCGTGTCTTTCCGTATTCCCGAACTGTTGCTATTGTTCTTTGACTACTGATTGTTTGCTGCCTGCCCTGACCCTTTTGCACGTCCCTGACTAACGATTTGGCTTCTCTCCTCTGTTGTGTTTGCTGGTGTTTGACCTTGCCTGTTGATTATGATTTCAATAAAGCTGCAGATGGATCCTCACTCTGTTGACGTCTCGTTACACGTAGTGAGAAATATAATGTTTTTCAAACATTCAAGTATGAAAACCTATTCTAGTAAAGCCCAAAAACAGAATCAAGACTTTGACAAAGACTTGCATGTAAGGCACAGGCTCAATGTAAATACATCTGAATAAAGATAATTAAAACTGCACTTAATCCTATAAAGAGATACTCCCAAATGCCACCCTCTACTCAGATGAACACATAGCATGACAACATTAGCTGACTTCAACGCCACCCAATGTAAACATATATGTTTTTGCTTATAATTTTGGGCTAGATTTAAAAATATTTTTTCTTCTAATTTCAAGCCTAGTGGTCATTTAGTTTGCCTGATATTTCACATGTAGCATGTAGAAACACTGCTGACAAAAAATTGCCTGTATTACCTGAGTCTGTGCGTCTCTCAGCAGTTCTGCAGCAATGTCTCTACTAATAGCGAAACTTTAACTGCTTCAAGAACAGTAACGTTACCACTTCGCTACTGAGAAATGTCATGTAGCTTTTCAGCTGCAAAACAATTTCATTGATAACTTTGGCGACAGTCTAAATGATGCACTACGAGACAGATTTTTGAGTAGCCTGAGTAGCGAGTCAATACAAAGGAAGCTATTGACTGAATCGACGCTCACGTATCAAAAGGCTGTGAATAAAGCAATGTCGATGGAGGCTGTATCTAGAGAATCACAGCACCTGAGTAACTCATTAAAAGTAAATGCCATGTCTCTGTCATCGGAATCGCCCAAGGAGAAATGTTACAGATGTGGAAAGGCCAACCATATCCAAAATTAGAGACCAACTGTGTCACAATTGTGGAAAGAAAGGCCACATTGCATGAATGTGTAAATGTAAAAAGACAGAGGAGAAAATACCTAGAACTATAGAAAAAGGAAAAAGTGTAAATAGAAAGGGACATACAAGGAAAAGACCAATTCACAGAGTGGATGCTAATATGGAAAAGAGTGATGATAAGACAAATTCGGACACAGATGCCGAACTGACACTACACAGAGTGACAGCAACACTGCACAATTCTCCATGGGTGAGCATAATGAAAAGGGAAACTGATTCAATGTCATCTGCAATAAAAGGGCAACCAAAAATTGAGGGATTGCCAATTGAGATGGAAGTGGATACTGGTGCCGCGGTCTCTATTATCTCAAGTGAACTGTACAGAGATAAACTGAGCCATGTTCGACTATTCCATACAAACGTTGTTCTCAAGACATATACAGCGAAGTAATCCCGCCAGAAGGTGTTATCAAGGTGCGTGTCAAACTAAGCAGACAAAGATTACGCTTACCTTTGTATGCTGTTACAGGAAAGGCAGCTTCTCTGTTGGGACGAGAATGGTTTAGCAGAATTCGTCTTGACTGGCATGAGATCAAAACTGTAAGAGCAGTACACCATACTTGTGTCTTCTAAAAAGGTATGCCAAAACATTCAGAGAGGATCTAGGCAAATTCAATGGATATACATCTACCTTAAATCTGAAACCGGGAACTCAACCGAGATTTTTCCAAGTACAAGTGTGGTACCGTATGCCATCAGACCCAAGGTGGAGGAATAAATTGATCGCCTGCTGAAACTAGCGATCATTTCACCTGTGCGATTCAGTGAATGGGCAACCCCGATTGTGTCTGTAATCAAAAAGGGTGGCAATGTTAGGATCTGTGGTGACTTCAAAATAACGGTGAACCCTGCTCTGTGTGTGGAACATTATCTATTACCCCAAATAGAAGATTTATTTTCTTCACTGGCTGGGGGCAAAGATTTAGCAAACTAGATCTTTCACATGCCTACCTGCAGAATCCAGTGCATGAAGATTCACGTTGACTGATTGCACAGACAGTATTTGAAGAGAACTGAACTGGATGATGACATCACTGAATCATCATTGAACTGACTTTAACTGGAAACATGACTCTGTTATTGTCTTCTTGCATCATTGACAAACAATTTTCCTGTTTGACACTGTAAAGCTGCTTGACACAACCAGTAATGTATAAAGCGTTATACAAATAAAGGTGACTTGACTTGACGTAAATACCTTACCATCACGACCCACAAAGGGATTGTATGCAATAGATTACCCTTTGGCATCACGTCAGCTCCATCGATATTCCAACGAGTCATGGAAATAGTGCTGCAAGGGCTACCATTTGTCTATTGCAGTGTTGGGCAAGTTACTTCCAAAATGTAATACATTATATATTACTAGTTACTGTCTTTTGAAAGTAATTAGTTACATTACAATATTACTATCTCTGAATTGTAATGCGTTACACTACTTTTGAGTGACTTTCACCAAAATATCCACAGACATATGACTAGGCATTCTAAAATGCTAAAATGTAGTTTATTGCTGCTCATTAGCCTATACATTTGTTGACACAGGGTGATGTGGTAGGTCTACTATAGCATACAATTATAAAATCATATTTAGATACCAGTAGCCTATGTAAGCCTTAATCTTACGTTGTAGTTTAGGTTGCTGTTTGTAAT